ATCCAGAGTAGGTCCACGTTGAGAGGACTACGCAAAATGTGTTTGTTTGAAAAAAAAAGTGAATCCTTGTCGGTGATCTGTTTTTCTAATCCAGAGGCAAGTATTCCGATGGCTTTGGAGGATTGGCCAACGTCCACGTCCTCAGTACAAATATCTTCAAACTATACAGCGAAGGGTGCTTAACAGAAGAACCAAAGACTTTGGGTACAGAAGTGTGATGGCAAGTTAAGCTATAAAGGGTATAAAAAGTTTTCTTTTTGTGCAGTTTTTCCACTAGGGTATGGTTGGGTTTTTTTTTTGGTTTTTTTTTAAGCTTTTTATTCCTTTTTTTTGAACGTGTTTTAAATATAGATTGTTTTAAGTTTGTAAGAAAGAAAGCAAAGGAGGATAGTTTACAGCTAGTGTACATTTCCTAAGCTCGTTTACTTTTTTTTTTTTTTTTTTTTTTTCCTCCATTTCGCAGTGTTTAGAAAGAAGTAGGAGGCACTTGGTTCCATCTCTGTGTTCCCAGGCTCGGGGCCATGGAAGGTCTGGTCGGACGCTCGCAGCAGTGAATGGCTTAGTGGGAAAAGGGTGTTAGGGTGAAGGTGAGGGGTTGAAAACCGTATCAATGTTTTGGGGTTTTTTTTAAATCCTGGAGAGATAAAGGTTGGAGTAGTACATGGCTTGTTTTTATTTATCTATACATTTTTAAGCTTTTTTTGACTGTTGTTACTGTTAATGATACACAAGTCGGACGCCAGAGATTTAGCAACGTTTATCAGGCTTTAAAAAATAGGACTATTTCCGCATTTTATCCAAAAAATGGCTTTTTCTCAGTGAAAACATTCTCAGTCTCTGGATCAATTGGACTTGTTTTTCTTACCAGACTCTTCTGAGAGCAGCTCATGTGACAAATAAGACTATGGGTTTACACTGCAGATGTCGGACTCCCGTTGGATGAGGGTGTGATGTCACCTGCAGTACGCTGTGTTTACAAGAGTACATATTGATGACAGCCTGTCAGTGTGTAGTCATTTTTAAGCTGTTGTTCTCCATTAAATGTTTCATCACAGCACAGTGCAGGACAGTTATTTTTGTCTTTCTTCAATTCCTGCCAGTTTAGCAAGAGAATTGTGTCAAGCGTTGTGTTCAAACAGGCCCAGGTTTTACATAAAGTAAGAAAACTGTCAGTAAATTGGAACTATTTTTGTATTCTATTTCCTTTCTATTTCCTTATAAATATCTCTGTTTGGTGGTGGGGATTTTCCGATTTATAATATGTGCTGTGGTTAAAAAAAAAGGCTGGGATACACTTCTCTACAGCGTTACTCCCCTAAACCGAGACCTCCTTGAGGCTAGCTAAACCTTAGCGAGGATGGCTTTGACGGACTACGGTCGGTGTTGCCTGTAAATAGAGCAGTATATCGTTCAACCTGGTCGTCACATGAGGCTAAAATATAACTTCCGCCTTCTCCTTGTGTAGCATTGTACCTCCTGGAATAAAAGCTGCTAACAAAAGCAGTGAGGCCAGGTAGCTTGAGATGTTTGTTTACCTCTTGGAAACTGTTACAACTGTTACAACTGTTACATGCCAGCGACATCTGCAGCAGCACTGCTTCCCGTTGCCTCCATTTTTGCTCAAACAAAATACTGTCTGTATTCCCCAAACCTACAGGGAAGCACCAATAAACAGAGTGCATTTATGGCCATTTCCAGGTACAGTCTGTTTGTTTTCCTAAACATCTGGGTAAACAAAGTGGTTTCAAAACCAACTGATTTCTAGATTTTGACAACTTTCTAAGTGGAGCAGAGAAATGATTAAGGTGAAAATATGAACGGATGAGTCTTTGTGCAGATCTGACTCTCTCCACCAAACAGCAGTAGTTCAAGAATGGTTTGTGTGAATTTGACACGCCCCCACCCCCACACACTCCTTTACTTTATGATGCCACAAGTGAGAGCAGGGTGTTTCAGACGAGGTGAAGGGCGGGGTGATTCAGATCAGACCAAGCAGACACCAGTCCAGTAGGACTCTGCCCGGCTTCATCAAAAACTACAAAAGAGCGTACGGATCATGACAGGCTGACGTGGGGAAACTACAGCAGATTTATACATTTGGATTCACACAGTTCACCTTTGTTTGATGTAATACACTCATCGCTGTCAAGGCCTTTCAGTTGTTTCATTTGAAAAGAAGAAAGTCATAACAACGCAAACGCAGACCCGATCACGTGAGTTCGTCCCAAGACCCTCTTCCTTTCATTTCCTTCACATCATGATGTAACGTAGTGTAACAAGCCAGCTAAATTAGCATCCCTCCACTTTAATAACATCACATCAATGCTCATATATCAGGCGACCTGATACAAGGTCGAGTTCATTCCCCAAATTCTGAATAAGACGGTTCCATCACAGACTCTGACGTGAGTCCCCTCCAGACTTTGGCTCCAGGGCGATCCATTTCCTTCTACTCCATCGTACTCATTTCTCATTCAGTAATGATCTTGTCCAAACTAAAATATGCCCAGTTTCTTTTTTTTTTCCCCCTCTCTTGTATCCAGTTTCATCCCAGTATGTCCAGATAGACCGGTGTGGCTTTCATCAAAGTAAACAGCATCTTCTGGATGTCCTTAATGTTGAGGCGCTGTTGCGGCTCTCTCTGCCAGCAGCCCAGCATAATATCGTAGACCTCTTTGGGACAGAGCCTGGGGCGTTCCAGTACCCTGCCCTGAGTAATGCACTCGATTACCTGTGAAGACCGAGACATGAGGTTATTGGAAAATCTTCATTTTTGTCCTGTTCACCTCACTCAATGTTTTCAGCGTCCCAGAACAAGGGGAGTGGGTGCAGTGTTTATTTAACCAAATGGTAGAACTTTTACTGAGTGGAAAAGAACATGCAACCTCTAAAAAGACGCACCATTGATCTTCTCGCTGTTGGCCGACTTTCCAAACCACATTTATGTGAGACAATCCCTAAAAGATTGTTGTTGTTTTGTCACTAAAGATTTCCATGAGCATATTTCACTTTTCGATGCAAAGATAAAGGACAAACTTTCGCACTATCATGCATTTGGAGGTTGGGTTTTTTTTCATTAGGCCACTGAACGTTTTTGTTGAGTTAGTAATAAATTTATTAGAGTCTTGAAAGCCTTTCTAGATGGTCATTTACAAAAAGTCTAACGTGACTAAAATCTGAGAGATTGAGTGGAAAATACCCTCTCTTTTTTTTTCTTTTCAGCAACACATCACTAAAACATCATATTATAGGAATAACAAAATAAAACAGAACAGAACAAAGATGTGTCCCAGGCACTTTACTAACTTTTGTCCGGATGTATCTTTAAAACACCTGGTCAGAGGTGAGAACAGATCAGGCCTTTCCCAAACAGAATTTTCCCTCAAAAACCCAAACTCTGTCTCCACGTTTAAACACCGCAGAACCACGGATACATGTCGTCATGACAATTTCATAAACAGAATGAAAGCACCGAGTAAAACTGCTCCAACTCCTGGGTTTTGTTTGCGTTCTGAAATATGGTGAGTCATTGTTTATTCATGTCTTCATTATATCAGAGATGCAGGAACAGGGAGCAGCTGTACGCCGTCACACACATGGCAACTGTAAAGATTCCTGATGCAGAATTTATTGCACATGTTTAAAATTTGATTGGATTTATTTGTTTCAAACCGGATTAAAGTTGCTTCTCTGGGGTCTTTCAGAGTTGACAGATTATTTATCGTTCATATACATGTACCTCGTTGTTAGCGAGCTGAAACCACGGCTGCTTGCCGTAGGTGAAGATCTCCCACAGGATGACTCCGAAGCTCCACACGTCACTCTCTGTTGTGAACTTCCTGTACATGATGCTTTCCGGGGGCATCCAACGGATAGGCAGCATGGTGTGACCTCCCACCTGAAGACAGATTACCATGACATCACGGAATTTAATCTACTGAGACCATTTGTAAATTGTACTTTCATCGTGTGGCTTCAAAGTACCATATTCTCTGGACTATAGGTCGCACTAAAATTTGTGTTCATTATTTTCACACTGACAGCAGATAGAGGGCACTGGTGCGACCTATACCTCAGAGCAACTTATAGTCCGGAAAATATGGTATATACGTTCAATTTTCCATTCCTCAATATAGTCCGGAAAATATGGTATATCCGTTCAATTTTCCATTCCTCGAAGTTAATTTAGTGAATTAATCACTTCAACATAAATAATAAAAATGACTAGCTATTGAAAGAAAGCAAGTTTTTTTTTTTTTTTTTAAAGGTTAATTTTTTTGTACCTTCACATCTGTTCACCTGTCATGTTTTTATTTCTAGCGGCTGTTTCTATTAGAGTCGAGCCCTGTGATTTTTAACAAAGTAATTTGCCTGGACGATCAATAATGCTCAGGACAGAGGTCTTTTCATCTGTCTGTACACTTTTCAGTCTCGGGGTCAGTCGATATTAAATCATATCATTTATTATAATGCCCATATGGTCGAGGGTTTAATCTGCTGTGTCTGAACTGCAGGCAGTTCCAAGACTTTGAGTGACTGTTTGACCGCAGCAGAATTATCCCGTGAAAGGCTGACTGAGAGGAGACTGGAGACAGCAGGTGAATGCTAATCACTTCTGAGGGGAATACAGGAGGTGAGCACTGTCTTTGGGTAAGAGTCTGACTTTTTTTTAAAAAGACACTTTCTGAAATAGACTCAGTCGAGTTGAGTTATTTATGTTGTACACATTATTCTGAGATTTTGCTCGTGCAGATGTGACTACTTTGTCGTCTTCGACAAAGTAAAGCCTGAGAAGAAATCCAAACCAGGAAAAACACAGGTAAAGACCGTGTCAATTACTCTGAAAAAAATAACTTCTTGCTACCTGCAGACGTCCCTTAATTCTCAAACAGACCATAAAATAGTCCACTTACGGTTCTAAGGAGGGCAGGACTGACATTCACTGCCAATATTTTCACTTCGACCAATTACAATGCAGCTGGGAGAGTCTCCTGCTCTATCTTTGAAACGCTGTCGCCATCTTTAAAGACAGCCTTTTTTCCATACAGGCATGAAAATGACATATCATTACCATTTTTCCCCCTTGGGACCAAAGTGAGAAGTATTTCATCCAGAGTCCGGGGCTCATTAAAGTGCTGCAGATCTCCAAAAAACACTGCCGCCGGAATCATTTGTGTCAACCTGAACTAGTTTGTGCGGGTTAGAAGCTAAAGCATAGAACCTCCATAAATTCCAAAATAAAACCAAGACAAATGTTTATTTGATCAGTGATTAAAACTATTAAGAACACTGGCATGAAATGTTCTAAAGGAAACGGGGAAGGAAATTGAATATTTTCCAAACCTGATTATAAATTTCTCAATTGAATATTTTCCAAACCTGATTATATTTTTTTCTTTTTTTTTCTTATGGGTCTCTGAAAATGACCCTTTGATTTTTCTCCCCTTGTCTTTCCAAAAGTACTTTCCAACATGCACCGGTTTTGCTGAGTCAAGTTTAGATGCCTTTTCTGGGTTAGGAAAAGGCTGAGTAGGCAATAATGTGAACGATCTGACAGAACAAAGGAATTTTCAATGATTTATGCCAAATGGAATTAGCGCTCAGTGCTACGGCATCGAAGCTAATGCCCTGATTTCGGTTAAGAACTATAAATGGTACAAAGTTCGAGTATCCTTACCCTGTAATAGTCTGTGCTGTAAATATCTCTGGACATGCCAAAGTCTCCTATTTTTACCAGGAGTCCATTCCCCACCAGACAGTTCCTCGTTGCCAGATCACGGTGCACAAAGTGTTGAGATGCCAAGTAGATCATCCCGTTTGTGATCTGACTGGCTATGTGGAGCATCTGGGACAGACCCAGCTCCCCATTGGTCTGTAGAGGTTGTCCATCCACCAGGATCATGGCGTCGGGCCCGTGGGCTCTATGGAAATGGTAAAAATGAACTTGATAAGACACACAGAAAAAAAAATCTTTGGTCTTAAGTTGACCCTGAACGCAGACCATTACGGAGGCGGTGGCCATTTTACTAAGAAGCTTCATGTGGTGTTTATAAATAGGGTGTATTATCTTGGGTGCTATTTCTGTAAACAATGCAATAACAGAAAGCAAACCTTGACCCGTGTGGTCTGGTAATGAACTACACTGCAACAGCGTCTACAGACCCGTGTTCACGAAAACACCCCCTACTGGTCGTCATAACAACACAACATAACCAGCAACCGTTTTGCTAGAGCCCAGATATTGTAAGACCACAATATCTTTAGTCAAATGTTTATCCATGTAGTTAATGTTTTATAATTACACAGTGACTCCACCACAGGAGGGAGCCTGTGGTGAAGGTAGAACAGCAACGAAGTGTGTGCATGAGGGGGAGAGGGATAGGTCGGTACCAGCATTAATGGACAACGAAGCTGAGGTTAGAATCCCAGGTCCATGGACCCACACCCATATATACCGTGTTCTCTGTCTGTACGCACACACACAAAAACACACACACACATGTTGGTGAAGCCTATCTTGTTAGAACACAGTGAGGCCAGATCAACCCAAAGGCCGTGTCCTTACCCTGATCCTAACCACGGGTCACACCTTTGACCTCGTCAGGAGAACACGGACACACACGCTCTCTGGTGCTAGACTAAATACCAACGTCATATTTTTCAGGGCAAAGCATTCTGGGAGCAACTATAGCCTAATCACAGCAGACATAATGGAGCTCATTAGCCCAGTAACTGCACTTTCGTATTCAGGCATTTAGCCAGGGCTCACATTGGCCCTGGTTATACCTTGCCATTAAAAGACCATTACGAGAGGACAGCTTTAAATACAGATGTGAATACAGTAAGATGGACTCAAGAGACAGTGAGACAAACGTTCTCAGAACCATTCAATTTGGGTTGAACTAAGGTAAAATGTTAACACTTCCTGGAACAACAGAACTCTGGTACTTTACTTCAGGACGTTAATGTTTGAAATGTCTGGCCTCTGCGTCCATTTGTGACGGACTTACCTGAGGAACTTATTTAGATCTCCGTGTTTCATGTACTCAAAGACCATGATGAGAGGGTCGCCGTCCACGCACACACCATAAAACTTCACTATGTGCTCATGCTGAAGGTTGGTCAGCAGCTCAGCCTCACGCTGGAAATCCTTCCTGGCTGCGAGAGTGGGGTCTTTCAGGGTCTGGAAAAAGTTAGAGCAACAATTCAAGGCCTCTTCAAGGGTTACCCTTTGGTCTTCCAAATAACGTCTCACAAAAAGTATATGTAATGAAATATAATGACTAAATCACAGCCTGTTTAGTTGAAGACAACACTGATATACTGGCAGGAATTGAAGAAAGACACTCACAAAGATCTTCTCCAACAGCTCTGATTATTTTTTTGTTTTTAGTTTTCATAGCCATCTGCTGCCCCCTAGCAGAAGAAGATTTAATTGTTTTGCCTTTCATGCTTTGACGAGTAAAGAAAAATTATATGCAATAAATAAATAATAGTTTTCAGCCCAATTTTTTCTCACGGCACAGTAGATTTCTTTAAATATTTACATCTGGTCAAACAATTTTACTTTTCTTTTTTTTTGGATATCCCAAGCAAAATCCATTTTGTTTGGCATCATTTTTTAAAATTAAATTCTAATTATGTCATGTCATGTGTTCACAGGCGTGTTTACTTTTTGTTTTTTAATCTTCAAATGAATGAAAACAGATCAGTTGAATGAGTTCAAAGAAGGCACTTCATTTACTTGTCGTTGGAGGTCAAGCCACTCCCCCCCCGACTCACCCCCACCCACGCACAAACACTACATGTATGAGAGTCAACAGGAAGTAAAAAAAAAAAAAACAGATAAATTTTAGTGAGAAAATGCATCTGATTTGTTTTTGTTCTCCTCCATTTCCTGCTGCCTCCTCCTGCCTGTGTTTATTTTCCATGACTTGGTCCTCTTTCATTACGCCCCCACTTTACGCCCCCAGTTAGGGCAAAAAGGTCAGTGGGCTCACAGAGAAGCTGTGCAGTAATGGCCTTCATTCACGACGCAAAGTTTATTCTTCAGTGAATGACAGTAATGGGTCGAAACACTCTGATTACTGTAATTGCAGTTATGGAGGTGCTGTTGCCATGGTTACCTCCTTGTTTATCTCTCATCTATTTTCTCCTCCACACCCTGTCCACTACTGCTTCGTGAGTGGATGTCCCTCACACTATAGGCTTCTAGAATTTGAACAAACGTCGTTGTTCAAAGTCTTATTCCGGACGACCGTCCACGTCTCCAGCCTTTTTTCGCTTCAACATCACCAACTTTGTAGATTTTTTTCTCGTTATGTGCAAGTTTTGCTCAACATCAGGAGGAATGATTCTGAACGACACCAGACACGGTCCACGGTTCCGGCCTCTTACCTTGATAGCCACTAGCATCTTGTCCTTGGTGGGACTCAGGTTGTAACATTCAGCAAGAAAGACTTTTCCAAAAGCTCCTTCTCCAAGTTCCCTCTTCAAAACGATGTCGCGTCGCTTAATGTGTTGAACATCTGCAAGAATACAAAAAAATACTTCATTCTTTACTGCAGTGGTTACTATTTACTGCAGGCTCCCTCGCTCGGAGATTGGTGTATTATCATCTTATACACGGTGTTTGCCTTTGCCAAAGTCTACGGATGGAAAAAAAGAAAAATACTTGTTTGCAGTTGGATGAACTCCAGGAAGTTGTCATCGTCGTTCCTGCAGAACATTTGTGAGCATCATGTTCTGAAACAAAATATGTTTCTACAGATCTTGTTTTTTTCCAGTGTGAAAACAAACTAACTCCTTCCCCCGTCCACTCTGCGTCACGGGTCACCACAGTGAAAGCTTTGGGGTTTTCAATGCTCTTTCTAACAGAGTTTTCCAAGTTTGATGTGCAGGGTCAGACAATAGTTTTCCTTGGGATCATTATCTACTAAAATCTGATTTTTGTGTCATTTTATTTGTGTGTCCGGTCCAGAAAAATATAGTTTGTGACCCTTACTAATGTGTGAGAAGCTCAGAGATTCACAGGCACAAAATGGGTTTCAAATTACTTTAGCAATTTATTTTCCCACCTTCATTATTTTAAAACCACTTCAGGATGTTTTTTTTAAAAACAAACACAGTAAGGTATTCTTGTAGTGATGCATTCTAAAAGCAAGTACCGTATTTTGCGGACTATAAGTCACTCTGGACTATAAGTCACAACTATAAGATGTCAGTGTAAAAATGACTAACGTGCAATTATGTATTTTAATATAGAGTATAAGTCACAAACCCAGCCAAAGGAATTTTAATTTTTTGAGAATGTGTTATAATTTCATTGGTTTCTTTATGAATTTCAATTAAAATATTTTTGTTTTTTATCTTTATTCCTAAGCTAAAAAAAAGATGAGAATTCTGACGTGTGTGAATATATATGACAGTTCTGTGCAGGTTAAACATTACATTTGTTAACCTAGTTAACCCAAACTAGGTTAAGAAAATCGTACTGGATCCAACCGTTGTTCACTTCCTGCCGTATTCTTTCTCATCTTTGGTGTATTTTTTCATCACCATGGTGTCTGTTGTCAAGGTTGATGTTGTTGAACCGTTTACTACGTCAACCACTGGATGCTCATGCCGCGCTCTGTTTATCTGAATTTCCAGAGCTTTGATGGGTTGTCCTTGAGGAACCAGTCTTCCAGTGGATGGAGGGACTGGAAGATTTTTAATCTATTTCTCAGCAACCTACGTTCACCTCAGTGTGCAGAAGTTGGTTAAATTCCCATCATCCATCACCAGCACGTCATGCACAGGTGCAGCTAAGAAGCTCACAATAGGCTGAAATATAAATATACGTGTCTGAAGCTTCTGGAGGATTCCACTGCTGCGTTCACGATCTCTTTGACTATTTTATTCTTTTATTATGTTCAACTTTTTTTAAATTATTGTTCCTCTGTAAATAAACATAACAATAGTGCTAATACTGCTACTACATGGACGATGCTAAACAAAAAGATCCCACAGACCATGGTAGAAAATGTGTAATTTAATTGATTTTTAGATTGTATTTTATTACTTTTATTCAATATTTAATCATTATTACATTTGTTTAGCATAAGAGCTAAGCTAATGAACATGTTTTTAGTACTGTATACTCCCACTGAATAATAAACTTAATTAGTTAATTGTAAGGAATACAATGGGAAACTCAATGGAAAGCAGCATATAACAGAGTAAAATATATATATTTTTTTTCTGTGCCAGTTGTAACGCGTTTCTTCAGCAACAAATATTAAACATTAAAATCAAAATGATCATATGAACAGACGTGGACACACAGGTCTCACTATGACCTTCAATCTTTAACAGTCACTCAAACTCCAGCCAGCGCCGAGGTGTCCTGTGTGCATGGCTTAGTGGTTTAAACACACACACACACACACACACACGGCTCTATGTGAATGAATTGACCGTTCTGCCACTGGGTTGCAATTAACTGTAATGAGCTCTGGGACTCACATCAGCCACATGGACGTAGAGGTTCTGCAGAGACTCAAGAGGAACAAGAGAGCAACAGAGCTCACCAGCAGAGAGGGACATTCCAATCATTTCAACAGTTACCGACTTGAGCAAAACAAACCCTTTGTCCACCGTGTGTCTTATTGACTTGAGCAAAACAAACCCTTTGTCCAACGTGTGTCTTATTTTTAAATACACATTACAAACAATAACATGACAAAAAGTGTCCTTTTAAAAAAAAAATACTTACACATTACAAACAATAACACAAAAAATAATGATGATCATCTGCACTGATACATAAATGTTATGACTTATACTCAGGTGTGACTTATATATTAAAATATATCATTTCACATAGACAGCCACCAGAGGGCGCTCTAGGCCTGTGTACCAGTATTTGCTACTACTGTGCTACTGAAAATGTACATGTTTTGTTATTTTCACACTGACGGCCACTAGAGGACACTGTACCTGGCTGGTGCGATTTCTTATACTCGACCAATAAATAAAAATAGCCTAATCTTATTTTTTTTACCGTCTCAAATATAAACTTGCGCTAAGCTGAATACAGTAGAGTTACTGATGTTCTGTTTCCTACAGCTGGTCTGGTACTGGTGGCCAGTTTTCCAGAGGTGGTGTTTGTGTTGTGAAAGATGATTGGACGCTTGTTTTGGGTCAGATGATGAAGATGGTGATTAGTTAATAAATGACTGACTTTCAAGCAGAATCACATGCACAAACACATCACTGCAGCAGCGGAGATAGAGTGTGTAATCACACAGGGTGACTCTTGTGATGGATCTGCGTCACCATTGGCAACAGCAACAGTGTGAATGTGTGTGGTCTAAACACTGGCTCAATCAGAAACAGAAGAGCCGGATCAAGACCTAATTTTTGAGGTTCTGTTTCAAGTTATACTTCAAAAGACATTTGTGGTCGGATCGGGTTCAAAGGCAGAATCGGCTCTTATAGAATAGTTCAGGCTAAAAAGCTGTGGTAATACAGTGTGTCCGACCAAATGGCAGAATGGCTGAGCAAACCGTCGTGTGTACGTGCAGAGAATCCTGTCCGTCCTGGAGACTCGCTGAGATTTATGTGGCTGTACTGACAAAAGAAACGATTTGCTCTGCCACTGAGGTAAGAATACTATCTGTGTTCAATCCAGACACGAGCAGCACAGAGAGGCAAACAGGACACACGGGGGACGAAGTACTGCTGGGAACCCAAGATGTTGTAGTACTTCTACGAACGTGAAGTTCAAATATTTCATAATCGGTACAAGGTGTCCAGAGGCAGACACCGCGTATCATTGGACACATGTTTAAACCTTGTCTCCCCGCAGAATAAAAATGTCTCCTGACGTTTTTAAATGACATCAAGGATCAACCTGAACTGAATCATCTTAAAGGAGCAACCCGTCTATTGTCAATACTGCGTCAGCACAAGTTAAAAAAGTCCAATACTGCGTCAGCACAAGTTAAAAAAGAACAAATACGTTGTGTAGGGACGTCTGTCCTGGTTTGATGTAATGGACAGTATTCTGTTAAGGTGTGTGTGTGTGTGTGTGTGTGTGTACTCACAGGTGGTGGGTTTGTTGCAGTTGTGTCCATGTCTGAAATACTGCGGGTTCTCTATGACGGGGATTCTGGTCATACCGATGACCACAGCATCAGAGCCAGGGTCCAGGGTACAGGGGCTGACGATTCCATGGTTGACATGATGAAGAGGGCTTGCAGAGTCTTCCTCACCACTAATCACTGCCACTGGGCCTGAAAAGAAAGCGAGAGATGATGAAGTACCTAGTAAGTATCAGGTCAAGGACCTTTGTAGTGCATGGAATATAGGCTAGTACTTTTTTATGTGCAAATTACATCAATATATTGCATGCTGATATATAGATATTTTAAGGAGCAATATTTAAAAATATTGCGTCTTGAACTTCAGTCACCGATCGTACCAACTGTATTTACCCAACATTTATTCTCGCTTCAAATGTCCGACGTAGATAAATACATCAAATACACAATATTTTCTGAATTTAGGTCTGAGTACAAATAAATCCTGCCAGACGACAGGACAGACACGCCAACAGTCAGATAAGATTCCCTTCTAGTAAAAACTATAATATAACCGACTTCTGTTACAACTATAAACTGCATATGAGAAGTCGATGCAGCGATCGTTTTACACAGCATCGATTCAAAGGGAAGTCCCAGAAAGTCTTCCATTACCATCGAAGGAAATCTAGGACTACGTTCACACTCCAGGGGGAAGTGAACCAACCTCGCCTGTTTTCCCCCCAGTATGGAAACTTTTCGGATTTTCTTTTGACACTTTGAACAATGCAACTGTGACCAACTCAACGCAAATTTCAAAGTCCGATTTCCCCCGAAAACAAAAATAACATGAACAGCTTATCACCGCCCTGTCACCCTGGTCTTTCTGCCACCGTGATTATTCCCAGTTCTCTAACGAGCTTCCCATTTTGATACCTGTCTCCTATTGGCTTTTCTTCTAAACTCTGTGACCCATTAAACGACCCGATCAGCTGCGAGGGCGGACCAGCTAGTTGTCAGACCATTAGCCTGTGAGGTATCTCCGTGTTATTCTTCCCAGTCCAAACGAAACATCCCTTCATTAGAATGCCTTAAAACCAAAGTGCTGCAATAAAAGATATAAAACAATGTTGGGTGTAGCTACATGACAGGGTGAACAGATGTGGCACGTCTGAAAAATGAACATGTTTTAGGACCGCATTAGTTTTCATGATGGATATTAAAAAAACCAACACACAAAAAAAACAACCAAACAAACAACAACTTAAACTCAAGTAGTGTAACTAAAAAGCAGTTAAACCTGTAAACTGTGAGGTTTTAGTGTCTCTTTTTGTGTGTTTTGTGTTTCCCTCTGACGGCTCAAGCTGACGGCCGACTCCAGCTTGTTGTCCTCTTTTATCATGGAGCATTAAAAAGCGTAATGCTCCTGCCAAAACTAGGCTGTGGGTTCCAGCAGTTGTGGGGGGGGG